TTCAGTAATTGCTTTATTAGTGATGGCATTAATAATGATGCTGGTGCTGAGCTAATAAAGCTAACATTTAGTGTGTGCTATTTACCAAGCACTGTGCTAAGTACTTTATGTCATTTAAGTCTTTTGGCACCCATAGAAGAAACATTTTATTATCCTGATTTTATAAGCTATGAAAGTAAGGCTCAGCAAGGGTAAGTGCCTTGGCCATGGTCACACAGCTATTTAGTGATTGAGCTGATTTTTGATCCCAGGTGTGCCTGACTCCAAAGCCATATTCCCACTCCTTTTCTTGCCTCAGTCATATTCTCGCATTGCTGGTTCTCTAACTCCCATTGTTTCTGCACTCCTTGGCTGTCAGTCCTTGCTTGGAGCACCTGTTGCTCAGGAACCTGCTGGGACAAGTCTTCTGCCTCAACCTCGACATGCTCCTTCGGATGAACCTTTGGTGTTAGCCCTGCGGCCCCACGCACCAGGGTAAGAGAGAGTCTCATTTCCTGCCCTGGCCCGAGGGACCGACTGGCTGGGCCTGCCTTCTGCCCAGCTCACCGGTCATGGAAGAGAGTTTGGACACACACTCTACTCTTGCCTGCTGAAAAGTGTGCAGAGCCCAGGTGGATACTCTCATCTTAGTGAAGTGTTGAATGATTTATGGGTTTAGGGTTAGGGTCTTGATCCACAGTGCACCGGAAAGCTCTGCTCTGTTTACCTACTGCTCACCTACTGCTCCTTTCTCTGGCTCACCTCTGGTGCCTAAAGGCTCTCAGACACAGAGTAATTGTCATGTCACGAGGAGGGACCAACATGCCTTCGTTCCCACAGTCATACTGGTAAAGTCAGAATCGTTCATGTGAAAGACAGCATTTTATAATTATTTTAAAACCGTTGTGTTATGCTGGGAGTGAAATGTCTTTCCTGAAGAATCAGGTAGTCTTTCCATGGTCTCCTCTCACTCACTGATCTCCCTAAAGTAAATGGCCAGTTGACTTTCCAAAATGAGCTTGTTTTCGGTGAGAGTTGTCCAGTAACCATCCCCCAACACACAGTTGAGTCTGCTCATATATTCTGTCAAGCAGAACTCTCCATTCATCAGAAGCTCTGCAGTCTTCAACACAGTGCCAACTGAGACTTGGGGGTAGGACCCTGAGGTGCCCCGAGTGATGCCCAAGTACACTGCAATTCTTGAGCGTGATTAAATCATGTTCATTCTAGCATAATTGTTAGTCTGGAACTGGTTCTTTAGTTTATTATGATTCCCAAGTGACCACTGGTGGTTCTTACTCAGGGTCACCTTGAAGGATAAATATTAAAAGTAGTGGTCATTAAATAGGCTGATTTGATTCAGTAATTGCTATTAAAGGCATTACAAATCTTTAGTACATTGGGATTTAGGGGGGTTAGAGAAGGTAACATGTATGCCTGTTGAACTCCTTGGGACTGACTTTTCTAAAATGTAAAATTAGGGCTTGCAGGAGCGAATGGTTCAGGGCTCTTCTTGCCTTGACATCCTGTGGTCTTAAGTAGCTAGCGGTTTATGATTTCAGAGATGTAATACATGTAGACCTTGGGGAGTACTCAGTTTTGTCTAATTGGTTGCTAAGATCAGGTATCTATGGAGACAATCATTCGTTAGTATTCAAGATAGGACATTTATTCTGTTTACTCTGCACAATTACATGATGATGAGTGTAGTGTTCCTCATATGATGGCTTTTTGCAAGAGCTGCCATAGAAACTGAATTTCTTACACTTAGGAGAGAAACAGAAAGATACTTCTCCCTCTGCCTCGAGCTACCTCCACATTTTCAGAAACCGATGGTCCTATTCCACAAAACTGCGTAATGACTCTTCCCAGATCATTGCACAAGTTTTGAATATTAAATCTTTCGCCAGTGGTTTTATGAGTTCAAATGGGGGTTTATTTTGAAAATCTTGTCCTGTATGATTTTTGTTTTTCTACTCATGTTTGACTTGAACATTGACACTTTTGTATTTCTATAATTCTGTTTCTGTGTACTATGAACATTCTCAGAGATGGGTGCTGGATTTTTTTCAATGCGAATGTACCACTTGGTACCCCTGGTGGAGTATGGTTTCTGGGGATGGTCAGTTTTCCTGAAAGCTTTGCCTTTTTTATTTACAGAAGTCTGACAGCTTGTATAAAGAGTAAAACTTTTCTTCTGGTAATTGACTCAAAAGATGGAAAAAACTCTCTCTTTCTCTTTTTATTTTGTTTTTCCTCAGCTTCCCCAGAATTGTAATCTGGTGTTCAACATCTCTTAACCCAAGAAAATGACTTTCTGGCCTGTGTATCTCCCCGCCCCCCCCCCCCCCATTTAAATGTGTATTTCGTTCATTTAACTTTTTGCATGTACTATTTACTATTGATTCATTTTTTTATTCTAAATAAATATTTGAATTCTCACTTTTCCTGGGCACCATAAGGCCCTAGGGTTATCTTGGTGACTGAGGCAGATACATATTCTGCTCTGGCAGACTCACTGTCTAGAAGGAGAGGGAGACAAGTTGTCAGATAGTTAAAGTACAAGCTGAGCAGTCTTAACGGAAGCACACAGGGCATGTGTGATCTCAGAGAAGGGACATGTAGCTCAGATTTGGAGGTCAGTGGCATGTAAACTGAGACCTGAAAGATAAACAGGTGTTAAAGCAGAGGAATCAGAAAAGGGGGGGGGGTGTTAGAAAGAGAGGGAATAGCATATGTGAGGGTGTTTGGTACCTGAGGTCATTGCAGGAGAGAATACCTCAACACTGGTTTGATTCTCACTGAGCCCCAAAAAATTAGATTTCAAAGAAAATCCTTGCAGTAATTTGACTTCATTTTAGCTTTACCAACTCAAAACCAGCAGGACAATGCAGGTTCTAGGTATGTTTGTGAATTCAGGGCAAGTCATTTGGCCCTGGATGACTTGGGCATTGTCTGAAGTTTACCAAGAGGCTGTGTTCATTAACGCCCGCTCAAACTGTGCATGGGTGCCTATCTAAGCAAAGAGTTACAGATTGGAAGCAGTGTAGGATTCAGCTTCCCTCTGAAAAAAGGCTTCTCTTGGCAGAGAGCTGGGGACCCTCTGTGTTTGCATGAAGGAAGGTCAAATGGAGAATGTTTATTTCCAGAAGTAGCAGCAGCTCTGAGCCTGAACTGTGTGTCTGCCTTCCTTTGGGGGTAGTCCAGAAGTCAGAACTGAATTCCGAGTTGTTGCACATTGGTCACCCATTTGGCCACAGATAGTGTGGACTAACTCTGGATGACGCACATGGGCAGTGGGTCTGGAATCGTGGGGCATCCATGCTTGATATCTTGATTAATGCTGTCTGCTGCCTCATATTGCAGATCATGTTCACCTGAGGGGTGCACTTCTGTGAGCTCGCAGATTTTGATGATCACCTCTCTCCCCCAAAATAAATTGTGAAGTAAAGAGTACCACAGTAGTTCATTATGGCAAAAATTGTTACTGGTACATCACCAGGAAATCCCTGTGGTTCATGAGTTAAAACAGTGGTTATCAAAATATGAATATTGGAACAGCAGCATCAGCATCAACCGGGAACTTGTTAGAAATGCAGATTCTCAGTCTCACTCCAGACCTGCTGAATTAGAAACTCTGGGTAGGGCCCAGAAATTTGTGTTTTAGCAAGCCCTCAAGGTGATTCTGATATACACTGACGTTCGAGAACCACTGACATCAGTGAGACAGGTTACAGGTAATGAGAAAATCCTGTAACTTACATTGATCAGCTGCCTGTGACTTTCACCTCTTTCTCTCCACTTAAGAAAATATCTTGGAAGGCCAGTGAGTGAGAATGATATCATTATGGGGACAGTCATGAATTTGCACAAGTTTATTAAAATACTTAACCTATTGTTAACTTTGATACCTTAATTTTTGTCAATAGCATGTAACAACTGGGATATCATGATTATGTACTGTAGTTCTATTACTGTAGCCAGAAGAGTGGCATTTACTTATTATTTATTTTTTTATTTATACTATACACTAAGAAATGTGTTTAATTCGCTCTCCAGGAGACACATATATGTGTGTATAACCAGAACAAATATTTCATGCAATAACACCCTTACTATATTTTATGTGCTGCTCTATTAAAAGTATGCTTATTGCAATCCATTAATTGATCCCATGACCCGCTAATGAAATGCGATCTGCAGTTTGAAAAACATGCATGTGGTGAGCTGTCTTTGCGTGGACCTTGTCTCTAGAGCAGGAGCGAGATGGGGCCAGTCTCACCTCTGCATCAGGTAGACTTGGCTATCCGTCCTTGTTTGCCACTCGTTAGCTGTGTGACCTTGGGCAGTTTACCTGTTCTGGAAACTTTACTTTTCTCATCTGTCAATGGAGTTGATAATACCTACCTCACAGAGTGTGACAAGTGGATTACAGCATACTTCATACAATGACTGGCACTGGTAGCTACCACCTTACTTGGAAGTGGTACTGATAGCACTATTTTTCAGATTCAGATCATCAGCAGTTAACATACATTTTTGTGGTAACCACCACAAATCAGTGTTTCATAATTTTTTTCCATACTGCAATGAATAAGAACTCCCTGTAGTCTATGCATTCAAAAATATTTTTGAAATAATTTTATCTTAAAAATGCATCTAAATTCTGTACTCTGTTCTAAAATATACTCAAATTTGATATATATTGTCTCCCTGCTCCAAATACTTGAGGCCACTGAAACTGCAGAAGATGCCATGAGTGTCTTCATTTACCCTAAACATAACTCTGGGCAGTGGCTTCCCAAATGCCACTTATGGTTGTGTTTCTGTGGGAAGATGCTCGCTAGACTTTTCTCGAATATTCATACCTATTCATTAGGGGAAGCAGCTTCATGTATGTAGCTCTGTATCACAGGTCCCCCATGGACCCTGGGCATTTAGCATGTAGAAGTACCAGAGGTTGGTCACCCATGAATCAGATGTTGGGGAGACCCAGCTAATGTTCACTTGTCTTTCTGGAGGTCATGATCGTGGTCGGTGGCCAGGCACCCAAGGCGATCCGCAGCGTGGAGTGCTATGATTTCGAGGAAGACCGATGGGACCAGATTGCTGAGCTTCCGTCCAGGAGATGCAGAGCAGGTGAGCAGCGCATCTCCCAGTGCACCGGCTGCCTTTCCCGGCTGGCCTCTGCTCGGTGCTGGAAGTCCTGCTGTCCTCCTTGTTTCCCCAAGCATCTGTGCATTGCAGACTCTCTTCTTTTTCCTTCCCCACCTGCCCAGTTGCTAGCTATACCTTCTGGGGTCAGTTATATGTGCTTAGGGACTTCAACCTAAAATTCAAGTCTTTGCTTGAATCAAACAAAATTAGAAAAGCAAATATGAAAAAAAATCCAATGAGTCCCATAATGACTTCCAAATATCTAAAGTTGTAGAACACCTTCTGTGGTGAAATATTTACATGCCTGCCTCACTTCCCCATTGTCACGCATCAACGTGAGTTATTGGCTACCGGAGACTACCTCAGTGTCTTGGTTCCTTTGCCTCAGGTGTGGTGTTCATGGCTGGCCACGTGTATGCTGTGGGCGGGTTTAACGGCTCACTGCGTGTGCGGACAGTGGATGTGTATGACGGTGTGAAGGACCAGTGGACGTCTATTGCCAGCATGCAGGAACGCCGGAGCACGCTGGGTGCAGCCGTGCTCAACGACCTGCTCTACGCTGTGGGGGGCTTTGATGGCAGTACTGGTAGGTCCTGTAAACAGTCCCCCCATCCCAGTCTGGGACACACCCTCCTTGCAACCCTGGTTTGCTCAGCCAGTCCTTGGACCAACCTTCTGTCCATCCATAGCTACTCAGGAACATACCCATCCTTTCTCCCAGCTTAGGTGCCAGAGCCAGGCCTTCCTACACAAAGAATATGTAATGGCCCATGCACTGTCATTTTTAGGGCTCTAGGAAAGACCCCATGGTCAGAAGAAGGCCTTTTCTCCTTTTCAGTGGCTGGGAACCTATTGACTCAGAAGATGAGACTTAGAAAGAGAGCATGCTTAGCTGGAGGGTGTCTCGGGACTGTAGTCTGAACCCTCTGTTGGACAGATGAGGGCGCTAAAGTTCAGCCACAGGAAGAGACCTGGCTCAGGACACAGTCTTTGTCCATTGCCCTTTGTACTGCCCCACTGAATCTTTGCAAGGCTTTGCCACTGCAGGGATGTCCCCTTCCTCCGGGTCTTTATCTAGCTTCACAGTTAGAATCAGAAACATTAGTGGATATGGACTTGGAGAAATTATCTTATTTCTTCTCATATCTCCAGGTGGTATCTCGGTAGATAATAACTCTACTAAACTAAAATAATATCTTGGTCCCCAGGGATGTGAAAATAATATTTTTTACTTCTCTGAATTTACATTTGTGTCTTTACAAGTAGGTGGCCTTTACCAGCCTTCTCTTTGCCTCACTCATGTAACTCTAGGGTCTTCAGCCTCTCTGAAGGCAGCCTGTAGTAACAGAACCTGGAAACAAAGAGAACAGAAGGGTAAGGGGACATTGTTCCTTTTTAGAATTCTTTTAGGATTTGCTTTTGGCTGTAATTAGAAAAACGAACTAAACTGTGACTTTAAAAAATGAGAGATTTTTCCCTGGCCAGTTTGACTCAGCCATTAGTGTCGGCCTACAGACTGAAGGGTCACGGGTTCGACTCCTGGTCAAGGGCACATACCTTGTTTGCAGGTTTGATCCCCGGCCCTAGTTGGGGTTGTGTGGGAGGCAACCAATCGATGTGTCTCTCTCACATTGGTATTTTTTTTTTCTCTCTCTCTCTCCCCCTCCCTTCCTTCCGCTCTCTCTAAAACTCAATGGAAAAATATCCTCAAGTGAGGATTAACCAAAGAGAAAGAGATTTTGTTTTACTCATGAAACAAGAAATCTAGAGGTTGGCAGTTGTTGACTTGGTCACTTGCTTGAAAATATTGGGGTCAAGTTCTGTAAGAATCTCTTGGCCTTATTCTCATGATCACAAGATGGCTGTTGCAGTTCCAGTCAATATACTTGTGTTCCAGGTACAAAAAAGCAGGAAGGAGTGGCATCTATATTAAAAAAACAAAAGTCTTTTCAGAAATCCCCATCATACTTCTGGGTAGGTCACATTGACTTGGTTATTCCTAGCTGCAAGGGAGTCTGGGAAGGCAACTTTTCAGCTTTTTAGCCTCTAAGGTAGATGAAGACAAGGGAAAAGAGTGTTGGAATAGGTGTTCAGTGAGGCGAGCTTAGGTGTTTATTTCGTTCTGTAGATTTAACAATTTATGTTTGAAAGACAGTTCTTGCAGATGTGTTTCAGGCAGGTGCCATGGGCCACACAGTGAGGCAGAGATAATGCTGAGCCATACACCCAGGTTTCCAGCCCCCCCAGATCTGTATTCTTCCCCATCCTCAGTTTCTCGGCACAGCAGGATGAGGCTTGGTGCCACAGAAATCTCATGAGTCTCTTATCTCCCAGGCCTCGCATCAGTGGAAGCCTACAGCTACAAGACCAACGAGTGGTTCTTCGTGGCCCCAATGAACACGAGACGGAGCAGTGTGGGTGTGGGTGTTGTGGAGGGTAAGGAGCAGCAGTGGGTGGTGACTTGTCCTAGCCCTGGCAGGGGCTGTCTCCTGGTTCTCTGGCTCTATTCCTTTCATCGCTTTTCTGAGTCAGGTACTAGTGTCCTAATTTAACAGATGAGGAAAGTTGAGACTCAGAGAGGTAAAGCTACTGGCCCAAGGCAAATAAGCCAGTGAACTAGGAGGAGCCTAGAAGGGAAGCCCCGTCTTGTCGCTTTGGCCACTTGTTAATAGCTCTGTTACAGGTTGGGAAGGGGAGAAGTGAGGGGAATCGAGTCAGTATGTAGACAGTGTGAGAGTTAACTGTTTAATTAATTTTGTCCTCATATGTTGGACATTAACAGAGCCCTGAGTGAGGTGGGAACCTCTTCCCAGATCTGATAGTCCCAGCAGGGCAGGTAGGTGGTAGAGTCCTGCTCTAGTTAGGAACGGTATGTGGGGTGATATGGTGAGGTGTGGAGCCTAGTTAGACAGTACACCATAATTTGTACCTGACTTTCACATTCAATTCCTCATGTTTTCCCCAAAACCCCTTTGAAGGAGATAGGTAGGATTTGGAATTTCTCTATTCTGGCAAACTGAGTCCCAGCGGGGTAAGTGATGTGCCCATTGTTAGTAAATAGCACAGCCAGTCCTTAAACCCAGGTCTAACTCCTAACCCAATGCTCTTTTCACTGTGCTGCACTTCTGTCAGCCATTAGAAAATGCTACTAAGGAGGAGTTTTACAGATGTGTGTGAATTTGGTGTCTTACAGCATAGATTATTGTTTGGACTAAAATGTTATACTTTGAAGAACAACAGACTCATTGGCCTGTCCTGAGGTGGGGATTGAGCTGGAACATCTACCTTTAGATGTGTATTCTCTCTCCCTCATGGGCGCACCCAAGAACACACACTAGTGCTTTGGGTAGAGTGCCATGTGCAGTGAGTTAAACATGATAGAAAGCTTCAGTTTTCTCATTGCATTTCTCAGTCTGTACCAGTATTGTGTGGGTTAACTTTTCGTGTTATTTTAACATCCTGAACAAGTCTTCTTAGCAAGTGCAAGGATTTTTCCTCCTGCGAAGGTAAATTATTTCTTGTGATCTCATCCTGGTAGAATAGAAATGGGTTTGTCTGCTAAATATAAGTCTAGCCACCTTCTCATCCCCCTGTTCCTTAGCCAGGAGTATCAAGCAGTAGAGTAAGGGTTTAAAATAGTATATCCCTGTTAACAGGCTCAGGGAGGAACCTCCAGAGGGTATTTTTTCAGCTGACACAGGGTTGGAATAGTTGATGGGGATTAGAGGAGGAACCTTCATGGTAGTAATTTGAAATACTCCCCTTGACAAAGGCTTTTGTGAGCATGTTCTGTTATGTGGAAGAAGTACTGTCTTGTAGCTGCCCTGTTGACATGGGGGACAGACAAGGAATTTACTCATCTTGTCCGTCCTGGGTTGGACGCTCTTTTGGCCGGGAGTCATCCTGGGCAGCAGAGTCCAAGAATGTTGAAGGGAGGATCTGAAGTGGACGCTTCACCGTGGCCTTGTAGATACAACATGGTCTCCACACGAGTCTCCTCCCTCTCACATCTCCTCACCCTGGCTGCATCGTCCGAATGACACTAGGACAACAAACAGAATGGAAATCAGGAGCATTTGCTGCTGGCTGCTTAGAAGAATCTCTACTTAGGAAAAGGGACAGTGAGGCTCAGAGATTAGGCAGAAACTTCCAACAGAGCAGAGAACGTGTGTTCTGGAGCGTAAGGTTTCCAGGCTGCTGGGTGTCCTCTGGAGCTTCGTGTCTCCTCCACCGCCCAGGCCTTCTCCTGCCGAGCGGTGTGGGCTGTGACCCGTGGGGGCAGCTGTGTGAGCAGGCTTTGCCGTTGAGCCAGCACACACTGAGTCAGAGTTCTTCTCTGACTTAGGTCGGGGAAGAACTGGGAGGAGGTGTACCTTTATTTATTTATTTATTTATTTAGAAGGGCCAGTTGAGAGGACTGGGGGGAGGGGGCAGAAAACAAAACCAGGCTCAAGGATAGATGAAGAAATGATTGAACATATTTTCGTCTCTGTAGGCAGTTGGTGGTAGAGTCCTGATACGGCACTAGTCCTGATGCTAGAGCATCATTTTGAGCCCGAGAATCTCTCTTTAACATGAAATAATTGCAGATTTTCACATACTACTTGTACTCTTGCTATTTATCTATTAAGAAATCACATATTGACAAAAAAAAACATTTTAAGTAACCAACTTAAGTAAATTTGCATTTTGTGGTGTTTCTTTAGTCTACAGCTAGTGTTTAAGATCCTTGTCATAACTCCATGGTCCCCCATAGGTTTGAGGTCTACAGGGGCAGGATTCCCCATGACACACACACACACACAAAACCCAGACCCTGCTACTATATTCTAAGACTACATGTTCACCCCAAAATATTTCAATCCCTGCTCTGGGAGAACTCAAATAATCATTTCCCGACTCTTCCCAACCTCACCCGTCCCTCAGGCAGTAGTGATGCTCCCAGATAACAGCTTATGGTGTATTTATTTTAAAAATAGGCGGTGGTGCTTGAGGGCTCTCGTGCATGGCTCAGAGATCACAAGGGAGTCTGCAGATAAATTCTAGTCACGTCAGCCCAGGGCACACACAGAGCCTCCCCTTGCTTCACATGCTCCACCTATGAGGGTTGTGAACAGAGCACACACCAGGGCTAAGGCAGGGCTGGGTTCTCACTAAAGAATGTGTTCCCATATTTGTTCTCTCTGCTATTGCAAGAGTTTAGCCAGAGAATCAGCCTGCCTGCCTGTAGCTGGGGTCCTCTAGTTTTCTATCTCCCAGGGCCTTGTTCTGGGGACGATCTGACATGGTTCACTAGTAAGAATATACTGAGCCCCGGCAGTGCTGGGCCATGGCTTTGCACTGGGTACTTGTGGGGCTTATTTAGAAAGAGGCTCAGTACTGCTTTGAGGAACTCAGGACATAAGAGGAAGTAGAAGTCTGGGGTGTGAAGGGTGCTTATCATGGTGGGGAGTAAGCTGGTGGTTCCATGTAGGGAAGGGGCCTGAGCGCTGATGGACGCGAGGGTGCCCAGTGGGTGAAAGATGGAGTGGCAGTCACGCCCTGGTTCCATGCCAGTGTCCCCAGCACCACCCTCAGCTGCTTTGTCTGTTCCAGGAAAGCTCTATGCTGTTGGGGGTTACGACGGGGCTTCCCGCCAGTGCCTGAGCACCGTGGAGCAATACAGCCCGGCGACCAATGAGTGGACATACGTGGCCGACATGAGCACCCGCCGCAGTGGCGCAGGTACGGGGGGAGCCTCAGGGTGCAGGCTCTGTCTGATCTGCTCACAGGTGGGTCTGGAGACCAACAACTCAACATTCTACCTTTGTAACCCCCTCTTCTTTCCTTTCAGTGTACATAGTCCCACTTGCACCTTTTAGCTCGACACAAGCACTTAGACCTTAACCTTTCCCTGGGGATCGCTTTGCTAGCAAGTGGATGAGATAATATTCTCTTCATCATCATCTCTTCCATTTCTGTGGAGATGTCGGCATCTCCTGAAAGTAAAGACTTGGTATGTGCCAGGCTCTGTCCTAGTAAGGACTTTCTATGCCTCAATTTACTTAATTCTCACCACAGCCCTGTGAGGTGGACACAATATTCATTTTACTTAACAGATGAAGGAAGTGAGTCAGCCAGGGACTGAGTAATTTGCTGAAGGTTAGTAACTGGCAGAGTCAGGATTCCCACTCAGGTCTGTCTCACTTCAAAGTTAGCTTTTTTGACCTGAAATTACTAGAGTCTCATTCTTATAAAGTAGTAGGATACGCACAGCTGTCCTAGTCTTCAGTGGAAAAGCTAAAGCTTGCCTGTCTCGTGTCTCTGTGTTGGGTGTGGAAAGCCAAACTATCAGTGTTCATACTTGGGGATAGACTTATCTCGCCCTACTGACTGATCCCCACTTCCCCCCTCCCCCACATGGGAAGAGAATGACTTCCAACTCTCACTTCCTGTGGGAAGAAGGAGCCAGCCCTGTGGTCCTTAGGGATTTTCCAGGAAGTGGAGCAACATTCCCTCCTTCCTGTTTTGTCTCCCCCATCATCCGAGAGGCCCTGGAGACTGGGCACTGGCTTTCTGTTCCAGCTCCTGTGGGGAGTCACCGACGGACGACCAACCTGGGCCTGCGGGAAGGTCGTGTGACTTCCGGGAAGGGAAACAGCAATTGAGAGTTTTCCCCCACAATGTTATACCTTTCTCTTTTTTTGTATTTTTGAAGATTGAGTTGTGATTTCATTTTATAGTACTAAATACATGACCCCTTCCTCAGCACTCCTTAAAAATTACGCTATTTATATATTTTTTCAAGAACCTTTGTGTGTTCATGGGTTAGAAAAGAAAAAGCTGTCTGATTTCACTTATGAAGCATTATGTTTGGAGGGCAGTTTTTAGGGAGCTCGTCTCTGCTGCTCCGGATAGGCTGGCCCTTCCTGAACACGCAGCAAATAGTGGAAGTTAGGAGGCTGGGGCTGAATCTGCTGGGCCTCCTTGAACTTGCCCTATAACTTTGGGCAGGTCCTTCTCCCCTCTTTGGCCTCTGGTTCCTGAGGTGTGAAATGAGTGAGTTCAGAAGTTGTTCCCTCGGGGCCAATTCAATTCACCGGTCCCATGGTTCTTCCTTCATAGAGCTCGTGTAGTAATTTTGGTTTATAGAGTTTTAGTAGAGTCTTCTTTGTACTTCTTAAAAATCCTCAGAGTGACTTGAGGTGTGAAAGCAAATGTTGAAAGCCCAGGGAGGTAGGGATGGCTCAGAAGGAGTGGAGCCAGTTCCTGAAATGTGCGGTTGCTTTTAGAAACATCTCAAGCAGAGAGTGTAGAAGGTCAGCCCTGTTGGAGCCACGAGCACCCACCTGCCTGCCTCAGAAGGTTCAGCTCATCCTGTGGACAGAGCTGCCTAGGAGCCACCCTGCTCTGTCTGCCAGGCTCCTCAGAGGTTGCGGGTGGATGGGGAGCACTCAGGCTGCTCCTGCGTCACACCTGGGTTGGAAGCCTGGATGGTTACAGCTCTACTGCCTGTGGTCCAGGGAAGCCAGTGACCTTGATCTAGGCACTGGTCTCACCTCTGGAGGTGGAAACCCACATATTTGTGGGGGTGGGTGGTCTTTGGTGGCTGAGGACCCAGAGACCCTGACCTCTGGTTGCCTGAGGCCTTTTGTGGTGCCAGCAGCCCTTGTGGCTGTAGTTCGAGGAAACCTCAGGGCACGTTTGCAGAGGAGGCTGCAGAAGGGCGGCAGTGCCCTGAGTGCCTGGAAGGCTGCCTGCTTCCTGGGCAGCCCTGGCAACTGCCAGCAGGTGCCTGTGGGGGGAGCTCCCGCTGCGTGTGGAGGGGTGGGAGCCAGCTCGGGAGCACTGAGTTTACTGTCCTAAGCCAGCGATTTTCAACTTCATCTCACGGCACACAAACTAATTACTGAAATTCTACAGCACACCAAAAGTATTTTTCGCCACTCTGACAAAAAAATAGGTATAATTTTGATTCCTTCACACTGGATGACTATTGTTATGTTGGCTGTTGTCATTTTTTTATTTGATAGTCTAAGGGAATAGAGGTCTGTGCCCCTGACTAAATTCTCAGGTACTGCATGTTTTAAAAACTCTTGAAGTACATTTATGTAATGGAATACTATGCACCTGTAAGAAAAAAAGGCATCGTACCCTTTGAGAGGACCTGGAGGGACCTGGAGAGTATTATGCTGAATGAAATAAGCCAGTCGGAGAAGGACAAGTACCATGTGATCTCACTTATTTATGGAATATCATGAACAAAATAAGCTGTCGAACAAAATAGATCCAGAGACATGGAACTAGGGAACAGACTGACAAACCTCAGAAGGACGGGGATAGGGGGGTTGGGAAGAGATAAACCAAAGAACTTATACACACAACCAATGGACACAGATATTAGTTTGGGGAAAGCAGCGGTGAGGGTGGGGAGGAGGGGGGGTCAATGGCGGGGGAAGAGGAGACATCTGTAATACTTTCAACAATAAAAAATAAATAATTCATTTTAATGTCAATAATAATATATTTTCATTAGGAAAAAAAAATTCTTGAGGCACACCAGTTGAAAATCACTGTCCTGAGCCCATCAGATAGCCATTGTTGATATTACACTACCACCTGCTGTTGGTTTAGGGCAACTGCAAGGAACCACTGGCAACTTGCATAACTGCTGAATGAGGTTTTACATATTTTGTCAGTCCAACACTATTTGTTGAGAACCTACTACCAACCTTCAGGCACAGGGCAATGTGGTAGGACATCAAGTCACGCCCTGGCCAGTTTGGCTCAGCGATTAGAGCATCGGCCTGCGGACCAGAGAGTCCTGGGTTCGGTTTCCACTAAGGGCATGTACCTCGGTTGCATTTGTCCCCGCCCCGGTTGGGGTTGTGTGGGTGGCAACCACTCGATGTGTCTCTCTCATGTTGATGTTTCTCTCTCTCTCTTCCCCCCTTCTCTCCTGCTCTATCTGAAGATAAATACAGGAATGTCCTCTGGTGAGGATAAAAAAAAAAAAGACATCAAGTCACATAGTCTAGAAATCAAGTCCTTGGGTCTGAAACATGGCTGCACATTCCGTCACCTGAGGTGCTTTTCCTGGTTCCTGACCAGTGTCTGGGCGTGAAGCCCTGCCCCCTATGTTTTCAAAAAGCTCCCAGCTGACTGAGAGGCAGCCTGTCGGTGGGGCAGTCGGTGGTGCACTGCAATGACTGATCCAGTCCAGCCCCCTTTACAGTGGGAACACTGTGGCCAGAAAAGGGGTGTTAGAGACCTGGCCAGAACCCCGGAGTCCCAGCCCCCAGGTCAGTTGCTCTTTCTAGGGTATTGTGCATCCTCCTCCTTTCCGGCTTTCATTTTCTTGACTTGTAAAAAAGGATTTTTAATGGTTACACTAAAACTTATCAACGATGCAGTTCTAGCACTCAGCTGAGGCCTGTCTACTCTGTGAGTGGTTCACTGCCCCTGTGCCATCCCGGAGGAGAGCAAGGGGTGGGGGAAGAAGGGCTTCTGCTTGAGACCAGCAGGGAGGTGCACAGTGATCCGTACTCCTGCTGTGTGGCTGGTGTCCATCTTTAACTCTTCTGCTCAACTGAGATAAGGCTGAGTAATAAAAGTAATACAACAGTGAAGGAAAACTAGGCAATATAGAAAGGCAAAAGGAAAAGAAATATAATTTTACCATTCAGAAATAACTGCTTTGAATATTGCAGTGTTCTTTCAGTCCCTTTTCTCCATTTTTCTTTTTCTCTTTTCTTTTTTTATTTTATCCTCACCCGAGGACATTTTCCATTTTTTGTTCAGATAGAGTGGGAAGAAGAGAGAGGAAGAGAGAGAGAGAGAGAAACATCGACGTGAAAGGCACACATCGAGTGGCTGCCACCTGCACGGCCAACCAGGGCCGGGGACAAACTGCAACCAAGGTACGTGCCCTTAGCAGGAACCAAACCTGGGTCTCTCTGGACCGCAGGCTGACGCTCTAACCGCTGAGCCAAACCGGCCAGGCCTTCTCCATTTTTCTTTGTATATGAACCCCCATTTATTTACACACACACACACACACACGCTACATATATGCACATATATAAAATACATTGTTTATGTTTCTCTGCTGGTGATAGCTGCCTAGACTGGACACCAGGTCTCCTGGTTTCTGGTCATTACGGCCAGCCTGAGGCTGGGACACTGTGCTCTGCCTTTCAGGGGTCGGGGTTCTCAGTGGACAGCTGTATGCCACAGGTGGGCATGATGGGCCTTTGGTGAGGAAGAGCGTCGAGGTTTATGATCCTGGAACAAACACCTGGAAGCAGGTGGCGGACATGAACATGTGCCGACGCAATGCAGGTAATATGTCTGCTGTCTCTGTCTCTTCTTGGAGGGTTGTGGGTCTGTTCTCCCTGCAAACCGTGGTTCTAAAAGAGAGACAGAAGGTAGAGACTCCCAGGCCTGGAGCTGAGCGGTATGAAGAGGGAGTGTCCATTTGTTGGTAAGTTCTGGGCTAGGGGAAGGAGAGCTTAGAACCCCAAAAGCTAGCCACAGGGCTGCCCCCCCCTTAGATGCAGAGGGTCCCTTCCCTCTCAGTGAAGGGTGATGACTTTGAGTGCACAGAAATGGACAGAGACATAGAAAAGCCCTCTGGTTGCCACCAGAGCCCTTGACCAGGGGCTTTGTTGGACACAGGGCTATGTGGATGTGGCCAGACAATGATAACCTGGCTTTATCTTTTCTTTGCCAGCACCTGGTTATGAGAACCTCTCACTTCCCACCTGAAACCAGGGGTACCTGGGAAAGGGTTTATAATTCAAGCTCCAACAGAACCACTTCTTATTCCCTTTCTTGTCCTTCTTGTAGTTCCTTCCCTACCCTTTTCCTTTCTGTAGTAATGATTTACCGTAGAGCGTTCAGGTTTACATTCCTGGAGCCTCATGGCTGTTTTATTTTAGAACTTTGCTCTGTGGGTCATGTCCTGTGTTGGTATGTCTGCTTTACGCCTCCTTACTCTATGAAAGTGTTGGCCTACCCCAGCTTCCCAGGGTGGAAAGACAAACAGGTAACTGACAGGCAGAGTTGTTTCCTTTATACCCAAATTACCTGTTTCCTAAACCCGTCTGTAGCTCACTTGAAACTGTAAGCAGGGGAGAGTTAGCTCCTTGTCTAAGCTGTGATATAGCTCGTCATCTGGCCTTACGCCACGAGTTAGGAACTACAGAACCCTCAAGACAGCTAGTCTATCTACAGTCTGAGAATTAAATTTGGATGTAAATGTGTATCTGTACCAACATTCACATATAGATATTTCTATCTTTTTTCAACAGAAGTTTAATTACTCTGTAATACTATTTGATAACCTGTCTTTTTAATCCACTTTAAAATCTTTCATGAATATCTTATAATACTAAATATATTTACATGATATTATTTTAAATGTCTATCATAATTTTCAGTAACTGGTCCACTATTGGACATTTTAGGTTATTCCCATCTCTTCTATAAGTAATGCTTCGGTTATTTTAACTCGTGCTTGTAGTTGATGCGTACGTACATCTGCAGTGAACTTTCAGAGTAAAAGGACGGAAGTGGAATTTCTGAGTCAGGGGGACACATGTGCTTTGACACCGCCCGGGAAGGAGGTGCACTTTGTGCTCTCGCTAGTGTTTGAGGGTATCTTCTCCGACACGAATAACTACTGCTTTTTGAGCACCATCAGTCCCTTACTTTAATTTAAAAAAATACACAGTATGTTGGACTATGGTCTTTTAAAGACTGATGAGCAAGAATTACATTTTCCTATTTTGAGTCCCCGCTAATGAGACCTTGCCCCCAAACCAGCTCACTCTGAGATGAGGGTGGGTGACGTGCCACATCCCTGGGGACTGGGTGGATGTAGACCCTGTTACGTGAAGGGATCAGACACAACCATTAACGCCACACACTGTGAATGTAATAGGGTTTATCAGGGAAAAACTTTCAAGCAGAGTGGTAGTAGCATGCATGAAATCCCTTGACTTATCTCATTCTGTAGCTCAGGCTGGGCATGGGAGGTCTGTGTGCTCCGGTGGTCAACGCTCCGGTGGACAGGGGCTTGTACACATCATGCTCCCCATATTTATAGAGTCGGGAACAGGGAACAGTCACGACCATGTAGTAGTGAAAGCTCCCTGGTCAGAGAAGTGACCTTGTTAAAAGGGGGATCGCAGAGCCCAGTGGCTCTTTCCAGTATGTCCTTTTGTTAAAGAAACTCAGACCCGTGGAGCTAGCTCGCCAGTTCCCTTTTGTGCTCCCGTGAAGGGGAGAAAAAGCCTCCAGGGCAATCCAGATTTATGTGTCGCTTGTCCATTCTGATTCCTTGGTGCTCCAGGGCTCCTGCTGTCATGTGTCCTCTGGCTTCTCTTTGACTCCCAGGGGTCTGTGCAGTGAATGGGCTCCTGTATGTGGTTGGCGGGGATGACGGGTCCTGCAACTTGGCTTCGGTGGAATACTACAATCCTGTCACCGACAAATGGACGCTGCTGCCAACCAACATGAGCACAGGGCGGAGCTACGCAGGTCAGTGTGCTCCACCCCACCCCACCCCCAGCCCATACTAGGGGTACAGGGTGGGGCAGGGGGTAAGCTTGCTTAACTTGGGACTAAGTGCCTCCTCCAGGGATGCTAGATGATTGGCATGTCACCACTCCTTTCTGTGCTCACTACAGATGCCCATGATTAGCACTTGTTTCCCTAGCAAACCTGAATGTAGCTTCAGAAGTCTTTTTTTTTCCTTGGTGTCTGTAACCAGATTTATCCCTGAGGCCCAGCAGAGGTGACCAGGGCCCCTGAGTCACAGTTTCTGTGGCAGCCTCTGGGCCAGTACCTGCCATGCATGGGGCAGGCACTGAATTCGACACGGCTGTGGGAAGTTTTAACATAGTGTTCCAGGGAGCCTCTTGCATTGATCTAAGTCCGCATGAGAGGCTTTAGAATGTGATGGCCTCTCCTGGTTTGTTCTGCACCAGTCTTTTAGGTGGAATAAGATATAGTTGTTGCTTTTCAGAAATTAGATGGGAAGTAAGACCTGCCTACACAAAATAGGATCTAGAAGATGATGCACACATAAGTTCTAAATGGAATGACTCACAGGCTTTAGGACCCGATGGTGAGAGAGCTGGCGGAGTCAGGGAACCACGGCCTGGAAGAGATGGGGCTTGATTCACCTTGGAGGGAGGATCACAGTCACACAGAAAGCTGCCCTTCGCTGGTGCCTTCTCCGTGTCCCACGGTGCAGTGTGTTAGTCCAGTGTAGATCTTTACTTACGTATTTTCAACAACTCTCTGGTCAAATAGCACTGTTTCCTTCCATGTTACAGATGATGAAACTGAGGTTTAGAGGGTTTGAATAACCTGCCCAATGCCACACAGGTAAAAAATAGCAGAGCCGGAATTCAAACCCAGGTCTGACTCCCTGGCCCATGCCCTTTGTATGACCCCAGTTCCTGGTTGGGGAAAAGCATTCCGTGCAAGAGCCTGGAGGGAGTAAGGAGTAAGGCATGAGGCTTATTCCTGGGGAGTGTGTGAGATAGAGTTGGTGAGGGGCAGGGGCAGGACCGGAGTTGGTCTTGCTGAGGTCAGAGGTCAATAGGGAGACAAGCAAACATATTTCTATCATGTAGCCCACCTCTTTGTATCTGATTTTTCAGAAACTGGAACAGTTAGAGCTAACAGGTATTTATTGAGCACATACAATGTGCCAGGCATGATCCTCAGCATTTTACACATCTTGTCTCATCTAGTCCACCTAAGGACGACTCTGATAGTGTTCTCGTTCCTGTTGGGTTAGGAAGGTCAAGCACTCCTTGTTTGGGTCTCAGGGTGAAAGGAGAGTGAGCCTTGCAAGCTCAAAGGGGTTTGGATCACCTTCCACTGTCTGTCAACACGAGGCTTTCATTGTAGTGAATTTATTTTACTTTTATTCCCTCAGGATTTTCCTCTACTCAATATAAAAGATTTTAGGGGCATGTTTGTCCTAGAGTGATTCTGTTCTCATGGTTCATTATTAAAACCAGCACTGTCATTTTCTGTTTGAAGCCATAGTAGGAGGCTCCATACATGACTGAATGACGGGGAAGGCTTAGGTGTGTGTGGTTAGAATTTCGTATACGTGCTGCCTATTTCCGGTCCATCTCTTTATTGTCTGCTCCCTCCAGACATAGGTGGGAAGGAGACAAGCAAACGTGTTATTTATCTTCAAACCCACTGACTGAGTGAATCTGCTATCTTAGAATATAAGGACATGGCCTGAAGCACAAAGATTTATGGACAAAGTTATTTATTGGAGCATTATTTATAATAGCAAAACACTGAGAACTACTTATGTCTGACATAAGGGAAACAGTTAAATAAGCCGTGGAATATGTACACAGTGAATGTTTTTTAATGTCATGAGAAAATATTTGTGACGATTGTTAGGTTGAAAAAGGAGAATACAGAATGTGTGCATTATGTGAGCTCAGTCAGGTAGTCCTGGGTCACGGGGGTTGAATAGCTCCTGCTTAAGGATGTTGGAGTCAGACCTGACTTGGAATCCCAGCTCTGCCGCTCGCCCTGGGACTCTGGGCAAGGTAATCAATCTGACTGAACTCTGTTTTCTCATTTGTAAATCGAGAATAAAACTATACCAAGCCTCTCAGGGCTGTTGTGATAATGAAATGTGATTATAGTTGGAAAGCACTTAGCACATGTCTGCCTGGCATGTCGAAACCACTCAGAAAATTATTGTGATTATTAGAAGCCAGGAAATATTTCCAAAAGGATTCTCTGTGTGTTAAGGGACTAAAGTGTTTTTACTTTGTGTTGTTATGCATTTTCCAAATTTTCCATAATGGGAATATGTTACTTTTATAATAGAAAGAGAAAGTTTATATCAAAAAACAATACAGGAACTTGCTTTTTATTTTTTTTAAGTTATCTTGTGAAAGGGAAAACTGAGGTGCAGGCAAGATGTTCTCGTGGTCAGGTAGCACATCTAGATCTGAGGACTAGGGTCTGCTGCCTTTAAGCTTTTATGTCTGTACCTTTACCTAGAAATTAACATAAAATGAATTTCTTAGCAGAATCTCACCTTTGGGGTACACTGGGGTTTCTTTTAGCAATGTTCTCTTAACTTCATCTTCAACAAGATTTTTAAAATAGTTTTTAAAATTTATTTTTTATTACAGAATATCCCTTCTTTTTCTCCCATTGACACCCTCCTCCCCACTTCTGCCCCCCTCCCCCACATCCCTACCCCACCATCACCATATTGTTGTCAGTGTCCACTGGTTATGCATATATGCATATAAGTTCTTTGGTTTATCTGCCCCCCTTCCCTCTGAGGTTTGTCAGTCTGTTCCCTACTTCCATGTCTCTGAATCTATTTTGTTCATCAGTTTATTTTATTCATTAGATTCCACATATAAGTGAGATCATGTGATGCTTCTAAGTCCCCGACTGGCTTATTTTGCATAGCAAAATACTTTCCAGGCCCCTCCATGTCGTCTCAAAGGGTAAAGGATCTTCTTTCTTACAGCTGCATAGTGTTCCATTATGTAAAAGTAACACAGCCTTTTTATCCACTTGTCTATTGATGGACACTTGGGCTGTTTCCAGATCTTAGCTATTGCAAATTGTGCTGCAATGAACATAGGGGTGCATATATTCTTTCTGAATGGTATTTCAGGCTTCTTAGGATATATTCCTAGAAGTGGAATCTCTGGCTCAAAATCAGTTCAATTTTTAATTTTTTGAGGAAACATCATATTGTTTTCCATAGTGGCTGCACCAGTCTGCATTCCCACCAGTGGTGTACTAGAGTCCCCTTTTCTCCACACCCTCACTAGCACTTGTTGTTTGATGATTTGTTCATGGCCACCATTCTGACAAGTGTGAGGTGATACCTCATAGTCATTCTAATTAGTATCTTTCTGATGATTAATGACTCTGAGCATGTTTTCATATGTCTCTTGGCCATTTGTATGGTATAATATCCTGTTTGGGAAAGTGTCTATTCAGGTCATCTGCCCATTTTTAAATTGGATTGTCTTCCTTTTGTTGATTTATATGAGTACTCTGTATATTTTGGAAGTTAATCCCTTATCCGATGTATTATTGGCAGATATGTTCTCCCAGAGAATGGGTTCCCGTTTCATTTTTTTTTTATCCTCACCCGAGGACATTTTTTTTTCTTTTTTCTTTTTGTTCAGATAGAGTGGGAGGGAGAGAGAGAGAAACATCTACGTGAAAGGGACACATCAAGTGGCTGCCATCCGCATGACCAACCAGGGCCGGGGACAAACTGCAACCGAGGTACACGTCTTTAGTGGGAACTGAACCCGGGTTTCTTTGGACCACAGGCCGACGCTCTAACCACTGAGCCAAACTGGCCAGGGCTCCCTTTTCATTTTGATGCTGGTTTCTTTTGCCATGCAGAAGCTTTTTAGTTTGATGTAGTTCCATTTATTAATTTTTTTCTTTGTTTCTCTTGTACTAGATGATGTATCAGTAAAAATTCTGCTACATTGATGTCTGAGATTTTACTGCCTACATATTCTTCTAGGATTTTTATGGTTTCACAAGTGCCATTTAAGTCTTTTATTTATTTATTTATTTTTTTTATGAATTTTTATTTATTTTTTTGTTACAGATATTTTACCTTTTTACCCCATTGGCACCCCCCACCCCACCCACCCTCCACCCTGTCCCCGGCTTAGTTGTCCATGTCCATTGGTCATGCATACATGCATATAAGTTCTGTGGTTTATCTCTTCCCACCCCCCACCCCCATCCCCTCTTCTGAGGGATGTCAGTCTGTGCCCTACTTCCATGTGTCTGGGTCTACTGTATTCCTCAGACTGTTATGTTCATTATATTCCGTATATAAGTGAGATCATGTGGTATTTGTCTTTTTCTGCTTGGCTTCTTTCACTTAGGATAATACTTTCCAGGTCCCTCCATGTCGTCTCAAAGGATAAGAGATCTTTCTTTCTTACCGCTGCATAGTACTCCATTGTGTATATGTACCACAGCTTTTTTATCCATTCGTCTACTGGTGGACACTTGGGCTGTTTCCAGATCTTAGCTATTGTAAATAGTGCTGCTATGAACATGGGGGTACATATATTCTTCCTGATTGGTGTTTCAGGCTTCTTAGGGTATATTCCCAGCAGTGGGATCACTGGGTCAAATGGAAGTTCAATTTTTAATTTTTTGAGGTAGCACCATATTGTTTTCCATAGCGGCTGCACCAGTCTGCATTCCCACCAGCAGTGTATTAGAGTCCCCTTTCCTCCACACCCTCGCCAACACTTGTTGTTTGATGCTTTGTTGATGGCGACCATTCTGACAGGTGTGAGGTGATACCTCATTGTTGTTTTAATTTGCATCTCTCTGATGATTAGTGATGTTGAGCATTTCTTCATATGTCTCTTGGCCATTTGTATGTCCTGTTTGGAGAGGTGTCTATTCAGCTCCTCTGCCCATTTTTTAATTGGGTTCTTTGTCTTCCTTTTGTGGAGTTGTATGAGCACTCTATATATATTGGAAGTTAACCCCTTATCTGATACATCATTGGCAATGATGTTCTCCCATACAGTGGGTTGCCTTTCCATTTTGATGATTGTTTCTTTTGCTGTGCAGAAGCTTTTTAGTTTGATGTAGTCCCATGCGTTCATTTTCTCCTTTATTTCTGTTGCCTTAGGTGATGTATCAGTGAAAATTCTGCTACATGTGATGTCTGAGATTTTACTGCCTATATATTCTTCTAGGATTTTTATGGTTTCACAAGTGCCATTTAAGTCTTTTATTCATTTTGAGTTTATTTTTGTGTATGGTGTAAGTTGGTGATCTAGTTTCATTTTTTTGCACGTAGCTGTCCAATTTTC